TGTTGAGTTTCATGAATAAATAAAATTCTGCTCGATTGCAGCATGTTATTTTTTTTTAAACTAGATTCTTTTTTCTTCTCTTCCTAAAGGGACTCACTTTGAGGAAGGAGTACTGCATTCCTAACCCTTTAAACCTAATTATAATGTGAGACTCACTAAGCAACAAATAGAGTGGATTACAGCTTGCATTGAGGACCTCTAACTTGTTAAGTCTTCAGTCCAATAATTTCTACCACTTAGGCACCTTAGGATGGCTACCTAAGTTTCAGATTTTGTACTCATCACTGGCCACATACATGTCTATTGGACATTAGATAATCTATCAGGAAGAGAATCACAGAAAATTTTTACCAAGCAGGATCACCATCATTGCTATCCATCTAGGCCAGATTAGCATAAAAGCTAAAAATAAATTCTGGTTAGCAACAAATATGGAACAAATAACAAATACCTCATGTCCTAGAAGTCCAAGGGCATTCCAAACATCTTATTTATATCATCCAGAGCTTCCTTAGTAAAAATAGTTGGCTCAAACAAATCATGTTCCTTTAAATTGTTTGACGCCTTGGCTGTGGGCTGGACTGGCTGGCATTGTTGATATTCCATGTCATCATCCGGGAGTATTGAGAATCTGCCAAAATCTTCTTCCCGAACAGGTGCCTTTTCTTGCTTCTTAGGTCTTTTAGCCCTTGCGAAATCTATTGGCTTCCCAAACATGTTGTTGATGTCATCCATAGCTTCCTTCAAGTTGATGGTAGGGTCTACCAAGCCATGGTGACAAACATTTTCAACCTCTGGCGCATCTAAGATGGTTGACCCAACAAACCTGTGAACAACTGTATCCTCTCTAAATCTTAATCTCACAGAGGCCTCTGAATCAAGATCATCCGAACTTTCAGATGAATTATCTTTGGGACAGAGAAAAACAAAAGCATTTGGATGCGAAGCAGATGGGACAGAATCTTCTGGAAAATTCTGAACCTCAACCTTAACTGTCTTACATTGCTTTTCATTTGCCTCCACATTCTCATTATTTTCTTCATCATCAATAAATATTTGAAATGGCTCTTGGTTAGGGTGACTTATTTGAGTTCTTCCCCAGTTCTCCTTTTCTTTTTGAGCTAACAGTTCAATTCTACTATCCACATTTTCATCAACGAAAATCTTAAATCCATTTTCTTCAACATGATCTTCTTCAGTTTTGCTTCTTTGTGATCTCCTTCGAACTGGAGCTGCTTCTATGGGTTCTCGAAACATGTTATTAATATCATTCATGGCCTCTTTCATGTTTATTGTAGGATCTAGAAGTCCGTGATGGCAAGCATCTTCTGCTTCAGACTTTCCTATAACTGCATTATCAACAAACTTCACCACAACCGTGTCATCACTGCAAAGAATCTTGGGTTCATTCAATTTCCTTTCAGGTATCACTTGCTTATTCTCTGTACTTGTACGAGAGTTTCCCAGAATTCTGTTATGGTTAGATGTCCCAACTGGCCTCGAATTTTCATCATAAGCAACTGTTTCATGGATGCATCCTTCATTCATGATTCTTCTAGGCCTATCCTCAAGTTTACATATAGTTTCACAGTTCTCCATCTCCACGCGAAGACCCAGAGGCCTCTTGGCAGTTCTTCTTTCATAGCACTGTAAGAAATCTAGCAATTGTTAAATAGCCATCCAATTAATGCAAGAATAACACACAAGCAACACAAAGAACTACCAGGATCTTCTTCTTGTGTCTCTCCATACGATGAAGGAATTGCTCATACGCTTTCTGAAGATTATCAAGAGGCTCTGCAAGGCTGCATAATTAGTTTACAGAAGGTGAGTAACCTCAAGGTTGTATTTAGAGGAATAGCCTCTAACACAAACTCTAGAATAAATAAATGGGTAGCAGTATAAGTGAACTCTAGAATAATTTAATGAAATATTAAATTTAAGACTATATTTAATCCTTTGTTCTCACAACAAATAAGGTGAGTAGCCCTCCATTCAAAAGTTTTTCAACCAACAAAAAGAAAAGGGACTTCATGAATAATCAAATGAAATATCATAAATACAAGAAGGTGTGGAGGCTTGTGCCAACCCATCCCCAAACTGTCTTTTTGATATAGAACCAAGAAACCTAAAAACTTGTGTACAGCATTTGGCTGCTGCATGCAGCATAGCTTCAAGAAGTGTGTTGGCGAAGTAGTTCACACCCTCCTAATTAACTATGTTATATAAAGGCAATAAAATCACAATTTCCCCAGTGAACAAGGGATTAAACTAACTGCCATTACAATTAGACATAAAAGAACACAGTAACTATCTTCTGTTTCTTTCCAGAACAACATGATGCATGAAAGACTTTCAAAAGCATAAATATTTAAACTCACATATAACTTTAGGAAAAGAGGCACCACAAACATAAGACTGATATAACAAATAGTAGCTATAATATTTTGGTTCAAATTCCAATGAAAATTCAAACAAAAGTAGTAGTCTAATTCAAAATTAAGCTCATGTCCAATTCCAATTACATATTTTCTTCCAATTCCTTCATTGAGAGGTGAGACTATAAAATCATGGTTAAAAAATTGAAGATACGAGGAAAGTTCATCTAATTATAGATCAAATATATAAAGTATGATTATCATTTATTGATCATATAGCTAGAATCTACAAACTGAATAAGAATATAAATTAAGTTGAATCAAACGCAATGTTAGAGGTTTAAACATCTACCATTAGTTGTCCAAGATATCTCAACACATCTAAATCAAGAAGAAAGCTTACTTTTGAACCCCAAGATGATACATCTTCTCAGCCTCATCAAATTTCTTCATCTTCTCATAGTAAAGAGCATATGCCTGGTAGAACAAAGATCTCCTTGTTCCAATCCGTTTGGCTTCCATGGTTCTTAACAGTGTCTTGGGATCATCCACGAAATCCATCTACTCAAATCCCAAAAGAATTAACAAAAAATCAAAACGATTCTAATTTCTATATTGCTTACATCTGTTTACCCCGAAACCAGTCAGCACCTTATTATTAGCTGAGAAAATGTAGAACAAGTTAAGCTTATTTTTAATGTCGTGTTGGATTCATAAAAGATCAATGAACTAAACCTAGTAGAAATTTGCAGCTCTTTTGCTATTAACTGCAAAACTTCATATCTTCAACGAACAAAACAATCTATCCAGTAAATCATAATGGTGCTCAATAATCCAACCGAGAACTGAATAAACCATGATTAAATCACCAGCAAAATATAAACAGATAAAAATAAGCAAAAAGATGGGGGTACTGAATTACCAACTGTAACCAAACACGAAGAAACCGTAAATCGTTTCGATATCGCCGATCGGACTCAAAAGATTGCACGCATTTCTGCAGAAACCGAGGTAGCTTCTCATTTAAAATCTGGCCCGGCAGCGTCTCCTTCATCTTCTTAATACCTCTGTTTCAGAATTGAAACCCATAAAATATTTAAACCAAAAGTGAAAGGAGAAGCAAATAGCAAGAAGAGCTGTACATAAAGGTGTGGGCATGTGTTCTTATACCTTAGCCATGGGAGAAGAGGATCTTTGCCAGAGTAGGATTTGATGTCTGAAATCAGCGAAGCGAAGAGTTCATTGTGGTGATTTTTGCTGCTGGTTTCCATCTGGGAGGTGTGATTTTTCAATCGGAAAATCCAAAAGAACAGTGACGATAGTGGAAGGCTGAGAGCCAAGATCTTTGAATTTGAAAAAACTGACGCGGCCCGTTAATGGAATTCCCTCTAACCAGTTAGAGCCGGTGCTTAAAACGGTACCGTACTTGGACTTACGTCCACTCTATTTTCTTAAAAATGATCGAAGCGACGCCGTTTTGCAGGGTAGCCCGCTGTTACATCCCAGTGACTTCCCCTCCATCCGTTTGCAGCCCATGTAGACATAGCCCTCTAAATTTGAATTTTTATTACTATTTCTGAATTAATTACGTTTTACTCTAAAATTTTTTGATTGTATTATTAACTAATCATTTTCAATTATATTTAAATAAAAAAAGGAGGAGTTTAGGGTTTGATAAATATCATGAGTTTTGATTAAAAATAAAATTATAATCGATAAATTTTAATTTGATTACTCTATAATATAAAAAAATAATCTGTCATAGTTACCTTATTGAATTTTTTTTTAAATTAAATAATGATTTAAAAATATTAATAACTATTTGATATGTGAGAACTGAAAAAAAAATGAAGAATAGTTTAAAAAAAATGTTTAATTTTATTAATTTATGCTAAGTTTTGTCATATTTGTAAAACTAAATTTTTTTAGGTTGACCTATGAAATAGATGAAAAAAACAAAGGATAAGATTGAGATAAAAATGCATAGTGTGTATTTGCATAGCACCATATTATAATTATAAGATATAAAATAAAAATATGCAATTACATGTAGAATAATGTGATAGAATATATGAACGGTTGAAATATTTAAATAAATTTTAAATGTATAATTTTTTTTAAATAAATTATAATACATAAGTTAATTTGAAGAAAATAAATTATACAAATTGTGTATTTAAGCCAATAAAAAAAAAAGCATTTAGTTTAAAAGCCTTCAAAGAAAAACACCAGATAAAAAGTACAGAACTCCTGAAATGGGGACGTAAATACGAATAAGTTAGGTGACCACCGCAAATACTCTGGTAGTAAAGACTGCAGACGATCGTCATTGTCCAAGGCAGAAAGTAACTTCCCTAAAACCCCTCTGTGTCTCTTTACTCCACTCCTTCGTCGCCCCTCTCTCTCATGGGGAATCCAGAAATGAAACTGGACCCGAATCTTTCAGCCTTCAAGCCCTACGCTCAAGCTCAGCAACGCCCGAATGCTGCTGACAAGGACGAAGACCTGGATGACATCGAAGAAGACGACCAAAACGACGTCGAAGTGGGAGAACTGGACGAAGAAGAAGATGAAGAGGAATACGAAGAGGAACCGCCCCCACCGAGCCCCCAAACCTCGGTGGCCCGATCCCGTGAGGAGAGGCTCAAGACGGAGGCCCTGGTTCGGCGGATGCAAGCGGGGCCCGTGCCAGTGCGCGTCCATGATGTGATCGTCAAGGGCAACACGAAGACTAAGGATCAGGTGATAGAGGCTGAGCTGGAATCGCTTAAGCAAGTGACCTCCATGCAAGAGCTCCTTAACGTGGCGAGACTTGTCAATTTCAGGCTTCAAGCTCTTGAGATTTTCGATTCCGTCAAGATAACGCTCGATTCTGGCCCGCCCGAGCTTCCCGGCACCGCTAATGTTATTATCGATGTTATTGAGACCAAAAGCCCTTTATCGGGTCAAATCGGAGCATACACGAAACCTGAGGTATGGTTCATTTCGATTTTGCGTGTGTCCATTGCATTTGGTTCGGTGGGATATACGTTTTTATGTTTGGTTGATGTGAAATTTGGAGTAAGTGTGCCGGAAGGCTTTGTTGGGATTATAGTATATGTTGCTAATTTTTATTTTTTTTAATAAATCAATTAGTTTAAGTTTGTTTGCCGAGAAAATTGGGGGAAATGAAAAGGAAAATATGGAATGAAACGAAGAGAAATTGTTTGTTTCACTTGTACTGATTTTGAGATATGTTGAACTTAGAGTCCTAGACTAACAGTAATAGTTCTATATAAGATTCTTATTTTGATAGAGTGGAATAACGTCAGTTTTTTGTTGTAATCGATGGTTAATGGTGTTTAAAACATTTACCTATTTTACTTCTGATTGGGTTATGAACTGATGTGCAGAGCTATGGCCAATAGAAATTTGCATAATCCATTTTATCACTAGTATAGGCTTCATGTCCTTTTCTTCAAGGAGTCATAGTCTTAGTTTTTGTACGAGTTGTAACTTCAAGAACTTCATGTATTTTCCTGTGTAATACCAATCCCACTTATTATTTGAGAATACATTCGGAAGCTAAGCTATCTAAATGATTTTCTCTAAATTCTGATGCTTAAATTGTGTTACTAGGAAGGATTTGCTATGTATAGATGGTTTCTGAAATTATATAATGCTGTTGTAGGCTAGATCTTCAAGTATAGAAGGATCTCTCAAGTACAAAAACATTTTTGGATATGGAGATATTTGGGATGGTTCTTTAGCTTATGGCTGTGACCATTCTGCAGAGGTAAGTTTTGGTGTGTATTTGCCCAGATTCAGAGCATTGGTAACTCCTCTGACCGCACGAGCATACTTGCTGTCCCAAGATTGGCTTAAGTTTTCTTCTTACAAAGAAAGGTCATTAGGTCTTTCTCTTGGCTTATTTTCAAGTAGGAACCATGACTTGGCATACAATCTTGCATGGCGTACCTTGACTGATCCATCTCAAATGTCATCGAAATCAATAAGGAGGCAACTTGGACATAATTTACTTTCATCCTTGAAGTACACATTTAAGATTGATCGGAGAAATTCTCAATTGAGGCCAACTCGGGGATATGCTTTTGCATCAACCACTCAAATTGGTGGCGTTGCACCTGATAGTCGGAGCTTACGATTTTTACGCCAGGTTTAGCACAATTCATTTCCTTGTGGTTTTATTGTACTAATCTAAGTCATTTACTGTGTTAACTCCTCTGTTGCAGCAAAGAGTATTTACATGATATGTTCCCTTCTGTATTTGAAGATAATGTTTTTAGAAGTATATTGTATTTTGAAAAAATTTTACGATCCAAGGAAAAGATATGCTAACATTGCCGGATGTTTCAGGAAGAGTTTCACAGGCTTTTTATTGTACTAATCTAAGACATTGACCCCATCATGTCACGAATTCTTATTTTGTGTTACCAGTCTGAAATACCTGGGGGTTTGGCTTATCTTTGATGGATCCTCTTGGTCCTCTCATGTAAACTATTATTCCCTTCACAAAGCTTTTGAAGCTTTTGCAAGTCTGGCATAACACCATATATTTGCTTGACTTTAATTTTGTGGCTAACCGCCAACAATGTCGCTTTAGTTTACTGATAATTGCTAATAAACATGACACTTATTCACTCTAATCGAATATTTAAATCTTTATGTACGTGAATCACTGTTTTCTTAAAAATCTTTTTGATGTTTATGACAGGAATTTGACCTGCGTTATGCTCTTCCTCTCGGATTTTATCATGCTGCACTCAATTTTGGGGTTTCTTGTGGTGTTATTTTTCCCTGGGGAAGTGGATACTTGGACAGGCCTTCGTCCTTGCCAGAGAGATTCTTCTTGGGTGGCAACATATCTCCTGTTTGCAGTTTGGGAGGGCCAGCAGCATTGTGGGGATTTAAGACTAGAGGACTTGGCCCTATGGAGCCAAGAAGGAAAATTCATGATGAGGATGCTGACCCAGCTGGAAGGGACTGTCTTGGAGGAGACCTGGCATTTACTACCTTTGCTGATGTTTCTTTTGATTTTCCATTGAGGTGGTTTAGAGAAAAGGGAATCCATGGACATGTTTTTGCAAGTGCTGGGAATCTTGCCAAGTTAACAGAGAATGAGTATCGAAATTTCTCTCGACAGAAGTTCTTGGAATCATTTCGAAGCTCTGTGGGAGCTGGGATTGTTGTTCCCACAAATCTATTTCGCATGGAGGTAGTTCTGTTCTGTTTGTTTTTCCTCTCGTTTCTGGATAGTTTCTTTTATTTCTTTTTATAAATGATTATGTTTCCTTTTACTGGGTCATTCTATGGTTAGGAAGGAATATTCATGTTGGCTGACTGGCTGCTTCTTCAAAATAATTAAGTTTTTGATATTATATTTTGATTTGATGCAATTGTTAGGAGCTAGCCTTGACATGTAACTCACCGGAACAGAGAGACAATAACAAATAAATAAATTAAGCTAAAGTGAGAAAGAGGTCGGGAGAGAAAAATAGAAATAGAGGAAGATTGAGAGAGAGAGAGAAAGAGTTATAGAGAGAGAAAAACAAACAGAGAGAGAATAGTAACAGAAAGAGAAAGACCGAGAATTTAGAGAGAGATAGAGACTGCCGAGAGAGGAGGAAGAAGATGGAGAAAGATGAGAGCAGGAGTGTGAGATTGGGAGAAAGAGAGTTGAGAGAGAGAGAGAGAGAGCGAGCGAGCTTGGGATTGGAAGTATGAGATTAATCTTGAACAAGTTACTTGATTTATTCGAGTTTATGATAGAACACTTTAAATACATGAATGATGCATGGACATCCCCTGCAAAATGCCAATCACCGCCATGGAAGTTGGAGAGCTGAGGTTCAGAGGCTTCAGGTGCACTGAATGGAGGAAGGAAGGAGAAGGGTCGGTTCATCAAATTGAGACGGTTTGGTTCAACGGTTCACCGAGAAATGGTGGTTCCACAAACTAGGGTTTTGGGATTTTAAATACCCCCTCCAGAATCATGACATGTCCCTTAATTACTTTCGGGTGGCAGCATTGCATGGCCGACGCTTAAAACTCTTATGGGTTTTGCTTCCCTGCAAACGATTGTATCTTTCATATTTTGCTGCTTGATTTTTGCTTTTCTGCAGTCGGTTTCATCTTTAGTATTCTGCTTCCTTGCTGATTCTACACTTCCCTGCTTATTTTTATTCTGATGCAACAGGTTCTCAACAATACTCTCCCTTTAAACATTAACCTTGTCTCCAATGTTGAAATTCAGCTTCCAAATATATGGTGCCAAAGAATTATTATTATTATTATTTATTCGTTTTTAATTTTTTTTTTCATTTTTAATTTTTATTTTTACCGTGCTACTTGAAGAACCCCCTGCTATGTCTTGCAAAGATAAGGTCAAGGATTTTCTGCATTATCTTGTTGCTCTTCCTCCAAAGATTGATTCTCTTCACCTTGTCCTTCTTCTTCTTCACAGTTCTCCATGGTCATAAATATTTTTTCTTTACACTGATGTCCTGGGAAGCATTTTTACCTGCATCTAGCAAATATTGCTTCTCCTCATTTCTGGATGATTTGGATCCCTCAAGGGTGGTGCTTCCTGAAAATTTTGAATGCTGGGAAGATTTTCTTTAAAAAAGTTGTAAAGGTATTTGAGTGCTTTGGTTTATTATGATGGTTGATGACATCTACTGATTGTTCTTGTCATAGAGTCAATTCAAATGTTTGAATCAAGGTGCGCAGTTTGTACATTCTCATTGTCGATCTAAGTTTCTCCTTTAGACCACTTATAAAGCTGGAAATAAAATATCTTTAAGAATGTCTGGAGTTTTCAGTCAATAACAACGACCTCGTTTCTTCAAAACTTTCTTGATATTTGAGAATGGTATTCTCTTGTATCAATTTGTTAAATTCCTTCACAATGTCTACTCCAACTAGTCCTCCAAACCTTCTACACAATTCCTTCTCAAATATTTTCTCATTCAAACATCTGAGGGTCATTTGCTAGCCCATGAAACCAAATTTCCACTCTGTCCCCTAGATACATCGAAGCTGTTTTTACTTTATTTTCTTCTAGAATGTTGAAAACATGAAAACATTTGTTTACTTCTTCTAATTCAAGTTTTAGGGTTTTTTTCTTCAAAGTCAAGTATTTTAATTTTCAGGGTAGGGTTTCTTGCTTGGTTACTCCTCTATTTCGACCCATTGCTAACCCCGTCTAAGGCTTGGTAAAATTCCTCTATCAACATTCAAAACAGAAGCAAAGGGGCTTACCTTTGCGGCTGTTTCACCTAGCTGTGCATTGTCTTGCAAGAGATTGGTGAGCCTCTCTAATTGTTGGTTGAGCATAGCCAATCTTGGTCTATAATGGCTTGGGCTTGCTGCTGAGATCCATACATTTTTGGACCTAACATTCGAAAGCTTTTGGTCCACCTCACGCATATTTTCTCCCAAAGCTTGCATCTTTTGAGGTTCAGCCATTATGGTTTTTCCCTTGTTCTTAGCCATAACAATAAAGTTTTCAAGAGTCTTTTTGGATTCCATTGGCTCTGATACCAAGTTGTTAGGAGCTGACCTTGACATGTCGGAACCACGAGACAGTAAAAAAAGAAATAAATTAAGCAAAAGTGAGACAAAGATCAGGAGAGAAAAATGGAAGTAGGGGAAGATCGGGAGAGAGAAAGAGTTATAAAGAGAAAAAAAGTAGAGAGAGAATAGTAACAAAAAGAGAAAGATCGAGATTGAGATTGCTGAGGGAGGAGGAAGAAGACTGGGGAAGATGAGAGCAGAAGGAGAATGAGATTTGGAGAAACATAGAGTTTAGAGAGAGAAGCGAGAGAGAGAGAGAGAGAGAGAGAGAGAGAGAGAGAGAGAGAGAGAGAGAGAGAGAGAGAGAGAGAGAGAGAAAGAGAGAGAGAGAGGTTGGGATTGAAAGTATGAGATTAATCTTGAATAATTACTTGATTTATTCGAGTTTACAATAGAACACTTTAAATACATGGAGTGATGCATGAACATCCCCTTCAAAACACCAATCACCACCACGGAATCAGAGAGTAAAGGTTTAGAGGCGTCGGGTGCACCAAATGGAGAAAGGAAGGGGAAGGGTTGGTTCCCCGAATGGAGACGGTTCAGTTCAATGGTTCACTGAGAAAAGGCAGTCCAGCAAACTTGGGTTTTGGAGTTTTAAATACTTCTTCCATGATCGTGACACACGTCCCTCCAGATCTCCGTGGGTGCTGCCATGTGTCCCTTAATTTACTTTCGGGCGGGAGAATTGTGCGGCCGATGCTTAAAACCTTATGGGTTTTCTTCCAAATGCTGTTAGCATTAGATCTCGAACTGATAACTGGATATTTAAGTGTTTACAAACTGTTAGTATTAGTTATTCAAAAACCTCAATTCTATCTTTCTATATCTTAACTGATAACTGGATCCCAAACTACGAACTGTACAAAAAATGACTATCTCTATCTTTAAAAAGAACTAAAAAATAGCAAGTGAAATAGCTATGATACCTACTCATTTGTAACTTTTTGAAGTTGGTGTCAGTAAACATGGGCAAACGGTTATATGACGGAGAAATAATCATAGAGTGGATATGATGAGAGATAATATAACAAATTCACAAGAAAATGAATGATAGTTTTAAGTTATTTTATTTAACTAAAGACTATCTTTTCTTTTAGTACTAAAAAAGAATGAATACTTGAAGACTGAATAGGATTCAAACCGAAGAATCATTAGTGGTCCTTGCATGGGCACGAAGATGCAGGAAATCTTAGGAACAACAACCTCCTTCACCTTATTCCCCTTGTTCTAATATTTGTTTGGTTATTCATTTCCATTCTATATTGTTTTACTGATGTGGTTAAATTTTGATTTCAGGTTAATTACTGCTACATACTTAAAAAATTCGATCATGATCATGGGAAGTCCGGCTTTTTCCTGACCTTCTCTGCTTCATAGATGTTGGAACTCTTTTTAATGTCTACCACTGGAGATGACACATAGAACACTGTCACTTCAGGTAGTAGGGTCTTTCCATAATTCTGATTATTCTGCTTTTTCACTGGATCTCAGTTTAGACAAATTGATTTTTCAATTTGTGTTTTGTACCCAGACTGTAAAGGTCAGAGAGCAGGCATTTTATGATGCACAAACGGGGGAGAATGATTTTTTGTGTCTTAGGCGTTAGCATAAACATAGTAACCCCATCTGTTGAGTGTTTGGCAAAACCATTGAATGGTCAAGTTCCTATACTTCCCCAGAGGATGTTATTGTCACTATTGGTTTTGTGGGAAAATAAGAGGAATACGTCATTATTTCTTTTTAAGTCCAGGAGAGGATCTTGAGGTGATCATAATGCAATCGACTTTTTTTTTCCCCATAAAATTGCAATGTTATTATTCCCTGAGAGTTTTTAAAGCTATTGCTATGATATAAATTATGAATTCAGAATGAAGAAAAGAAAAGCCCAAGAAATCTGATAGAAATGCAAGCTTGATTAGACTGATCAGTTAAGCAGCCATCTGTTGTTTCACTCGTTTAAATGGTTTTGGGACTGGTTAAATGGCTTACATTAAGGTTTTACCGTTAGTTGGTTTAGGAACCTGGGTTATTGACAAAAGCTTTTTTAGGGCCGTTAAACAACCCATGCATCTATAATTATAAGTTCACTTGTTCATGAGTTTCTACCTATAATAAATAGATATGGTATTCTTATGGTTAATTTCTGTTGAAAAACGAAGGATTTGTATGTGGGAGTTTGACGTACTGCTGGCAGTTGTGCATTGTAGATGTGATGGACATTTGTGCATTTAGATGCAATTGACATGGATTTTAAATATATTTTTTTTCCATGAGCATGAGAATCTAATTTTGGCCAACATCATTTTGTGATTTTTTATTTAGCCTGTCAGTTACTGAGCATGCGATTGACATAGATTTGCTAACATCTAATTTTTGCTCTAAGAAATGCTTTATGAGATCTAAGAAAAGCTACATAATAACATTCAAAGAGTATTAATCTTCAAAATTTTCATTTATAATTTTCTCTATCTGATAGAAGATTGGGGTTGGGGGGGGGTTAGGTTTCTTACAGCATTACTTGCAGTAAGTCTGATAAGGAAAACAAATCTTGGTTTACAGAAGTTGCTTTTGGTAGTTTATATTGGAGGACTAGATAAATGGTACAACATAATTTTCCCAGATTTAGTTAAAGGAAATCTTGGTAGTGTTATGTTACAGGACTAAGATAAATTATGCAATCTAATTCCCCTAGATTTAGACGAAGGTATATAGCTGCAGGACTAGATAAAGGGTATACTTTTAGGACAGCACAAAAAAAAAATAATATATTGTCTTTTACTGGTGCATGGAGACATGACAATGAATGTCTCTTTTATCTGCTATATTCTTATCGAACACCCATCAACTTCAGTAAGGACAAGAAATGGCTTTGCTTCCAGGACTGTATTGGGGTTGCACGACAAAGCCATTGATATGGATGTTGTCATGCTGACTTGTATGGTACAAAAGTGGTACAGAATTGTAGACAAATGCTGCGAAATGCTCATAGTCTGAGTCTCTTCGTGCATCCAACTGTTAAATGAAAAAGAATATTGCATAGAATTCGAAAATCATATGAAGTTTTTTTTCTAAAGGTATGATAGTTGTGAAAACTAAATACTGTGCAGTTAGGGGTTTAATGTAGTTCAAATTAGGGTCTGCCTAGGATTTTTTTTAGCTGTTACACTGCTTAAAAAGTCGTAGCATCACAATAAAAGGTTTGATTGCATGTACAACCTTACAATTGAAAAATTCAAGTATTTTATTGAATTACCAAAGTCTATCACAAGAAATAAGAATAAAATTATGAAGATATTTATAATACTTTATAAATAATCTTTTGCAAATAGAATTAGATCAAAGAATACTAATATTAATTGGAACAGATATGGAAACTAAATACTAACAAGAATAAAATCTTAAAGTTACTAAAAACTATAATAATATACTTCTAAGTAGTAAGTTGGTTTTGTATTTAACAAAACTATTGTTTTTCATCTATCTAGGTAAATTCATTCTGCAAAAATGTTGATTTTGGGTACCTGATTAGATACCAAAGAAATGTTTAAAAGAATCTGAAGCATGAAAACATTAAAAAGAAAAAATTGCAAGCATGCTACTTTTATCCAAAAAAAAAAAAAAAGGGCCCATTTGGTGAAACTCAGCCTCTTAATACTTAGAACAAAACGGTAGGGGACTATTTGATGAATCCACTGGCCTATTTAAAAACCCAAAACTAATATGTGATTATCTGGGCAGCAGTATACCATGAACTTAGAGCATAGCAAGTTAAGCATATACCACCATTGAAGTCGAGGACTATGAATCTGGTAGTACGAAAGTTTTCTACCCCTTGTGATAAAACCCATAAACTGATTATTCCAGCAGCTGTGGCTCTGACAAAGCATATGGTTCATGAGAGTGGAGGTCATGTTGGAGTTGGATTCCTTGAAGGGGGAGGGGGGGGTTGGTAGTAGCATGTATGATGATGTAAGTACTTCATGGTATGCATGCCATGACATGTCATGTCATGTCATGTCATGTCATCCTCTTATAGTCCCATGTACGTTAGAAAAACAATTCATGATGATGTGGGGGATTCTTTAGAAACAAATTGTCAGATAATAATATGAAAGAAAAGACAAACATCCCTCTTTCTCTGTTTGTGGTTTTAAGAGAGAAGAGAATGGAAGTGGTAGATCCGCGTTAATAGGGGGCGTTCGATTCTCTTTTAAATATAATTTGAAATAAATATTTTAAAATAGATAATCTATAATCCATTTACCTTGTTTTATTCTATTCTTGGATAATCCTTACATTAATTTTAATATAAAATAACATAACTTTCAGATGAAGCATCCAAAAATTTACACCAATTTTCTACTTGTATTTAATTTTGCTATGCATTTTTGCATGTTTAAATTATTTTTATGTGATATTTCTACTAAAGGTGTTAAGTTTGTATTATCAGTTTAATATTAAATTAAAAATATTTAAAAATTATAGGTATTAAAATTATAAAATATATATATACATAAATTAATTTAAATATTTAAAAATAGAACGTAGATTAATTTAATATTTTAAAATTTATGTCTGTATGTGTATTTTTTTTTTTAAAAAATGTAATAAGCAAAAGATAGAGAGTGTTGGTTGGTTGACTTTACAGGTTGGTTGAGGCCGAATCTGTCAGGCCTTTTATATTATTTATCTTCACAGCCCAACCAGACTGCCATTGCTCATCCAATTGCCTCTCCATTTCCGTTGCTTAACTAGTTTTATTAATTCACACGTGAAACAATATTTTATCAAGATAATTTGTAATTATTATTATTTTTATTATTATTGCTTATTAGCAATAATCTAATTTGCTTTAACTGGTTATTACTGCCCCACATTTATATTAAATTGCATAATTAACCTCACTAATAAATTATTAAAAACACTGCTATCTTTCTAAACCATTTATTGGATCAACTATGTACCATGAGTGTGTCTTTTAATTTATATTTTTTTAATGTTTATACATATACCTTCACTAATATAAACATGTACAATTTCTATGCTTATCGAAATATAAAATAATATTTTTGAAGTTTTTTAATACTATGATTATTTTCTTTATTATAATTATTAACTGGTAAGATTTTGTGAATGAAAAATATATGAATAAATTTAGAACATAAAAAATTAAAAGACGACAAACAAGAGCTTTAAGGTGCTGTATTTAGTGATTTTTAGAAAATTATTTTGTTTATGCTTAATTATTCCACAGAAATGCAATTTTTTTTTTGGGGTGTATTTTTATAGATAAAGATATGCATAAGCATATAAATTTATTAAACGAATATTAAATATTTTCACATACCAAAATGAAATTTTAGTATGTGTATGCTAAAATTGACTTAAGTATACTATGACCATCCAAAAAAAGAGATTAGTAAAACGAATATTCATAATTATTATAAATATTTCATATCATCTCTTATATTAATAAAAAAATAAGTCAAGTTCTTTAAGATTTATAGTGAACATTTGTTGTTATTATCTCTAACAATGATGTAATTAAAATTATCTTTAGTTAAATTAAAATTTGATTTCATTAAAATATGCACAAGTTGATTTAAATATCTCCTAACTTGTGAAATATTATCTTTATATTCATAATATAAAAAAGGCAGTATATAGATAGTGACATAGTCAAATATTAATTGAACATTGTTTTTATTCTTTCGATGATGTTGTACACATTTTTGAACTAATGTCCTGTATATTCTTGACTAGTGTTTGTCAATGCAAATTATTGCATTTCTGTATAACTGTAGCGGCCTAAGCGCAACAAATTGCGTGACCAACTTCAGTCTTCAATACCCACTAGACTGACTTCTCAATTGACAATTTATAGCAACAGCATATAATATATATATATATATATATATATTATCAAACGACGAATACTTTTTATGGGTGGTGTGTGATTTTCTCTCGAGATGCCTGTGAGTTTTGCACGCCTTTTTACTTGGGTTTAAATTTAAATCAAAGTGTAGCCTATCGCTTTCTTATTATGATTCTAGCTGCCCCAACATAATAAATTACGGTCCTCTCCATTGTGGGTTGTACAAAGCTTAAAAACCATGAGATCAACCTTAACTATTGTATGTAATGGGTACAATTTCAAATTATTATTGAAAATATAATGTTACTATCATCTTATATATAATTGTTACACAACATAAAATAATTTTTATTTGATATTTGATTTAGAAAATGATACTTTTAAATTATATGTATTCAAAAACACCAATGTGGATATATAACACCATTTGATTGGTTTTCTCATATATATATATATATTTTTTTTTCTATCTGGGTTTGTAGAATTATTATTAATATCAGTTAATTTTGTGGTCTCATGTCAATCTTTTGTCATGGTACACGAAAAGAATTAATGAATATGGAGGACACACGAGGATGGAATATTACAGTTTCTTGCATGAATAATGTGACGAACTTATTAAAGTATTATACCGAAAGTTAAACTTTAATGTGAATATGAAATAAAGTAACAAGTATTAAAATTATATATTATATTATATATATTCTTTGTATATTTATTGTTTTCAAAAGATACATACATATATATATATATATATGTATATGTTCATTAATGGAAATGATATAGTTTCTGGTTAATCGATTACTTTGATATATATATATATATATATATAAAGATAATAAAAGTTTTATTGTTTAAAAATAAATTTCTTAACTTTGGGATTAATCAATATTAATATTAAATTTAAAATTCGATGAGCTAATGCTGGGTATTATGTGTTGATTGATCACAAGATTCTTGCTTGGGTCTCACAGTTGACCTGCCCGTGCATTGCTTTTATACTAACGCCTAGCTGTTGACAATTTTAGTCTCTCACAAGTCTTCGAATACTTTTTTTTTTTTTTTATATGTATATATAAAATTAACATCCTTACATGTAACCATGCATATATATGTATATACAAATTAACATCCTTACATGTATATATATGTGTGTGTGTATATAGACAAGAGACAAAGAATCCGTGATTCTCGACGGGATGACTGTACCAGTATTTCTGTCAATGTTTTTTTTTTTTTGGTTTAATACATGTATATATATATATATATATATATATATATGTATATACAGAAAAACACATGTATGTATATATAATGAGTGACTGACAGTTCAGCAGTGAATTTCAATTTCAACACAAATGCACATGCACATTTTTTTCTCCCAATCAATTACCTAAAACGTACTTGAAGAAAATATGTTCTTATGTGTTTCTTGAATTGGTTTACAGCTCTGGGATCATGAGCTCACAACCCTCGCCTTTTCTTTTTCTCTACCTGTTTTTCTTTATACACATACTTTGTTCATTCAATTTTTCAAAAATTAGAATTTAAGGTATGCTAATTTGATGGTTTATGATAAACGTTATAATATGCAATATTGTATATATATTTATGTATAATATGTATAAACGCACATGGATGTAGATAATGACAAATATACACAACTTTAGATTATTAAAAAAATGTTAGGGAGCTGATGATCAGGTTTTATTTCCCAATTAGACTAGGGTTTTGATTTGGACCAATTTATTATTACTCTCCAACCCTTAATATTCCCGGTTGCTACTATATATATATATAAATATTGAAAAGAATTATATATGGGAGTGTATATATATATGAGAAATAAATCTCAGCCTTTTGTATTAACTTACCAGCAAGATATAGGCAAGAAATTGTGAGAAATGTGAAAGCATAGTATTCAAAGTCATGCTTATAGACCCAGTACAAGACCCTTAATTCTTAACAGCTGTTTCTTCCTCATTCTCCTTCTAGACTTCCAAACCCCAAAAAGTACAGACAGCTAAGAAACATGAAATCAACTCATCATCATCATCATCATCATACTACTACCGGTTCTTCTTCTCAAATTTCCAAGACATCTAATCATAATAATTTCCCTTTTGACAATCTTTCTCCAAAGAAAGACTCTGAAGACGATGATGATCAGGATCAAGAACTTGATCGTGGGGAAGCGGACAGGATAATTCACGGGCCGAGTTCAAGCAACAGCAGCTCATCAGTTGATGAAGAGAAGGAAATTAATGGTGGATTGAAGAAGACGAAGAATCCCGGAGAGGGAGGATCAGGATCATCGTCATCTGTAAGGCAGTATGTTCGTTCTAACATGCCGAGACTCAGGTGGACTCCTGAGCTCCATCTTTGCTTTGTTCATGCTGTTGAAAGACTGGGAGGGCAAGAAAGTGAGTGTTTGATTTGTTTTTGATAATTATAATTAATATATATACATATAAAATAATGAATTATATATATAGGAGCAACACCCAAGTTGGTTCTTCAATTGATGAACATCAAAGGCCTTAGCATAGCTCATGTCAAGAGCCATCTACAGGTACATATTGAAAAAACCCATCTCTTAATTTTGTTTTCTGATTATTGAATTAACACCCATCATACAAATTAGATATCGATAATTGGCATGCTTAATTTGATCTATTGATTTCCTTTTCATTTTATGTAATATTGCATGTTAGATGTACAGAAGCAAGAAGATAAGCGAGTACCCAAATCAAGGTAAGCCCAAGAAGATATATAATTATATATACACATTCAACTTAGGTTATATATGTATGTATATATATATATATATATTAACTCTCTACTCTAATTGTTTACTATATTGTTGTTTACTATACTAGCAACAACAGATCAAGGGTTTTTGTTTGAAGGTGGAGATTCTCACGTTTACAACCTTAGCCAACTCTCCATGCTGCAAAATTTTAATCCAAGACCCAGTTCTTCTTCTACTTTAAGGTAATGAAAAAAAAAATTCCTTGATTAAATTCATTCTTTTCTCATATATATGTATACATCATAAACTTATATAGCATTTACTCCTTATAATTTCTTTAATTTTTTTTTAAATTTCTAGATATAGTGATCCTTCATGGAGAAATATTCACGGAGTACAAAACCAGATTGACAGCCCTAATTATAGTTACAAGGTTGGAACTTCATTAATGGATAGAGCCAGATTAGGGTTTGGCAATGGTGCTAATTTAGTACTACCTGCACAGAAAATATATGGAAACAACAAGACCAATTACAATTCCCATCTGGGTAATTCTTGGTTCAATTCAGAAGCTGATAGAAAATTCAGAAGAAGCAGAAGTGAAATTTCTCTGGAGACATTCCGGTCTTTTGGCCGGGAGGATAAGACAGAACCGGAGTCTTTATTCGAGTCGAGGAATGCATCGGCTAGGTCATGTTTTCGAGTACAAAGGTTTCCGTCATTTAATAGAATCTCCGAAGATCAAAACCTACCGACGAGCCTAACGAAACATTCCGAAAATCAGCTTATCATAAATGATCAGAGACAAGCAGGTCATAATTATGATCATCAAGCTGCAATAGTGACAAATTACTTGGAGAATTACAACAGTAGGTCGTCATATATGATTAATAATACTAACAGCTGGCCATCATCATTGAAGCAATTAAGGATTCAAGAAAGACAAAATCTTTTCTCGAAAAGGAAGGCCAGCTCGGATTCAGGTTCAGACGCATTGGACTTGAATTTATCTCTCAAAGTAACAGAAAACATTAATGATGATCAAAATAATAATCACGGTGATAGTGACGAGAGTAACAATGATGATCGAGTAATTGATAGTACATTGTCACTTTCTTTGTCTTCTTCTTCGTCTTCGAAGAAACGACTGCACAACAGGTCACTTAAGGAAGGAGATGATGATGATGGGAATGATGAGGATAATGGGAAGATGAAGATACATACAAGGGTAGCAAGTAGAAGTAGTACCGATCTGGATCTGACTTTGTGAATGCAGACAAATTGTTGTAAGTGAGATTTCTTGATCATAGATGTACTAAATTAATTAATTAATGACAACTAATTAATTAATTAATGATAAGTAAGTTAAGAAGTTTATTAATGATTCATGTTACTCATCCATCCAGTACAAATACATGCAAGGGCAATGAACTTTATTTTGTTTTGGATGCATGTCCTATAAAGTAATAAGCTGTAATTTGGTGAATATCAAGAACAGATCATGACTATAGTTTAGATTATTTGTTGTTTTCTTAGTTAATTAATCAGCTGTTAGATACTTATCTGTATATACACATACATATACATGCTTTAAGAATATATATATATATAGAAGCTTTATTATTATGATTTTTTTCTTTACAAAATGATTACAATTTTAAGACAATGTAAGTAAAAAAGATTTCTCCCTTCAAGACTTAATTATTTATTATTGTAATAATTGATATAATTTTATTTATAAAAAAAATCATAGATTCGACTAGATTATAAGTACGTATATTTTTTTTATTTAAAAATTATTATATTATATTACGATTAATATATGTATATTATCTAATTAATAAATATATAAATAAGTAAAAATTATTTATGCAGACATATATAGGTTTAAATACATTATTAATATAAAAATAGGATTTTTTTTGTCACTAAACTCTCATTAGCTATACTAGTACTGCTTCTATTATTATTAGTATTATTAAGTAATCTCTCCTAAAAATGCCTATGGTTGGTGGAAATAACAAGAAATATTTTCAGTATATATATCTGCAAGAATATCTCTTCTTCTTGGTTATAGCAGAACTTTGGTTGTTCTCCATATTTGTCATATTTGAATATCCTCAAATAAATTCTTGCTAATAGTATCTTGAGATTTTGTACCTATATAAACACATTATATACACACACACACATATATATATATATATATTTCTTCGTGTCTACAATATCATAAATAATATTATTAAGATGAGATCAGTGTTGGGCATGCACCATGCATAGCCCAAAGTAGAAGCTTTGCTAAGCAATGCTTTGTTTTTTTTAATAAAATCCTACCATGTATTATGTTCTAAAAGTATTTTTACAGTAAAAAGAATAATTTTGATAAAATTCAAAGCCTACAGATTTTTTTGATAGATTTATACATAAAAGCTATAATTTGTAAATTTTGAAAAATAATTTGAATTTTCAATAAAAATTTACGTTTAAAATCTGAAAAAAAAAATCTATTTTTTTAAAGTGACAATATTTTTTTACATTCATTTATATTAAATATTAAATAATTATGTAGTAAAAATATTTTTTTAAAATAACTATTTTAAAATTCATATTATGATATAATCATATTAAATACTCACTATATGTTATGTAATACCCGGGCCGCACAACAAGTTGTTCTGGTTCCTCGGGCACTCCCTCGCCTAATGCCAGACACTCCCACATTGCGGCAAATATTGTTGAGGCGATAGTATAGTCGGTCCCTATGATCCTTACTACAGTGCTGGCAAGTCCTACCACGTCCTGTTATTGAAATTTGAGGAGTCTGAGTCATCGGCATAAGTCTCTTGTTCTGCTGAATAGGTGCAGTAGGTGCTAGTCTGCGGTGTGAAACTGAGGGTCTGAGGTTCCCCACTGCTGAAGAAAAAATACGAAAGTTCCTCTCCACTAACTGTGCATTGGCTAAAACGACCGAGTAAGTACTGAACTCAAATACATACAGTTGCTACCTAATCTCAGGACGGAGGCCCCACTCGAACTTTCTTGCATTTCTACCTTCATCCATCATGCTCTCAGGGGAATACCGACCCAATTCTAGGAACTTTCAGGCATATTCTGATGCAGTCATATCACTCTGAACCAGGTGTGCAAACTCCATTTCTTTTAGATGTCGGAGATGCTCTGGGAAATACTCTGCATTGAAGGCCCTTAAGAATTGTTCCCAAGTGACTGTAATGGATAGGGTGACTTGCTTGAGTTGCCACCAGTGGCCTGCTTCTCCTACCAGCATGTAGGTGACAAGTATAACTCTCTGTTCGGAAATCATCCAAAGAGTTGTGAAGGCCTTCTCTGTCTCAATAAACCAGTACTCGGCCTCTTCAAATGAGGATACCCCTGCAAAAGTAGATGTATTTAGTCTTTTATACCTCTCAATGTAGTCTGCGTCCATTATTGGAGGAACTGGATCCCGTGAAAGAGGGATTGGATTGTACTGGGGATGGACTGAATGACCCTGTGATGGTACTGGATAATACGGTAAAGGCACTGGATTGTACTATGGTGATGTTAAGTGATGCGGTTGGAACACCGGACTATATTGTGATGGTACCGGGTGATGCGGTTGGGGCACCGAGTCATACTATGGTGGTGTCAAATGGTACTGTGGAGGAGCAGGGTCATACCGGGGTGGCTTAGGATCCTACCGCTGCAAGAGTGTCTCAATCTGTGGTAGTGGGGGAGGGTCAGGAAGCTCCCTCCTTTCCTACCGGGTCT